AACTGGAAAACAATTGCCTTAACATTTATTAAATGTTTCACAATAATAGTTGTTTACATTTTTTCCTTAGGACAAGTCTGCCGCGTGTACACGTGGTGTGCATCAGCAGGTTAAGCGCTGTTGTCACGTTGCGATGAAACTCCCCAATATTAATACTCGCTGTATTTGGAAAACTGTTAGTCTTACGCCTCTGTAATATACAACTTTTTTGTTCATTTATCTATCTCATGTTGAAGTAATGGCAGTCAAATTTCTTACACCCTGTATAGTTTATTTTGTGTTATAAAAATTGTAGAGGGAATCGAAATAAATAATATATTATGTTTTATCAATGCATTATTTAAATTTTCATGACAACTTAAGACTAGAAATCAAAGTATTCCTGGTTCCATATATTAAATTTTTTTAATTTTTGTTCCTATATATTTTTTAAAGTAGTGATTTTTTTTTTTATTTTGCATTGCATTAACCAAAAGGTGGGCAAAAGTAACAATCAAAAATAAAATAAAATAACCAACACTTTAGTTTATAAATATATAATATTCAAAATGTATTTATTTTATGTGATATTTATTTCTCCATTCCTTTTTAGACAATCCTCATAATTTTCAAACATAACGACCAAAAAAGCGGGAGTATTTATTGTCCCCGAACACCAATTATCGTAAAATTCAACTCTAAGGTTTCACAACGTGTGTTCCTGCAAACAAAAAGTTCTCCATACATCACCAACTTTATCTTCCGTAACATTCATATTTCTCACAATATCCCTGAAGTCACGCATCTGGCCTATACTGCTGCCATTTGGTATTAATGTGAGGGAAAAGTCTTGCAAATGAACTCAGTTTTAGGAGACTAGGATACTAAATTGTACTTTGGTTCGTTTAATGTCCCTGTTTCCATATTTCTTTCAATGTTACAAATTATATTTTAAAGTGGAAGTTGTAAGATGCAATCAGCAGCTCTTAGCGGAGATAGATGGTCCTGATTCAGAGTTAATGCTGATTTCAGCAGATATGTTGCCATTGAGGTGACAAAAGAAAAATTAAAAAATATATACTTTAGGACACCAACATACACCAAAATTGGGGAACAAATATTTCCTTTAATACTCATTGTTTCCTGTTGATGTAAAATTAAGAATAAACAAAGAAAAACATATTAAAGTATACAGGGTTGCTAATAAGATAGCAAAAATAATAGGATATAAATGAGTTAGAGATTTTTAAAATTTATTACAATAAAGAAAAAGTAAGTATACAGGATCAGTCAAAAAGTCAAGACGAATAAAGTTCCTTTTTCTTTAGCGGAACACCCTGTATATTATTAAATATTTCAGTTCTTCCCGAAATTCTAAATAAAATTCTTTTGGCATATCATGTACCTAAACCTAACCGTTTCCGTATTTTGAAAGTAACTTTTTACTACTCTCAAATTCATTTTTTTTTAATTCTCATTAAAAGGAAAGGGCCCAAATTATGGATGTTTATTTTGAAATTAACACAAGGTGGAAAATATGGACATGATTTAATTTTATTATCAGCCTTAATTGGCCGGGCCCCTCCATCCTAAGTCGACACCGGGAAATACAGCTGCGGCCAGCACAACTACATCCAATGGTGGTGATAAATGAGGTTTTAGTAGGTATGGCTATGGCGAGTCGCACATAACTGTAAAAACACCATCCCGAGCACGGGGTATGCGTAAATACATTTCCTCATTTTAAAAAAAAAAAATTCTCATTAACTTGTTAGAGTCTAGCCTTCACTGACCTTGTCATAAAGTTCAATGTCACTATAAAAGTCAGATTCAATATCAGCATGAAAGGCCTTTCAAGTATATAACAATTTATCGTGCTCTTCTTAATTCCTCACTTTGTCTTTTAGATGACTTAAAAATGACCGCTAGGTGACCTTGTAGGCTTAAGCGAACCTGATATTCGTATTCAGTGACCTCAAAAACCTACGTACCTACTGTTTCACATTTTTCGAATGCTTTTTTCACAATTTGACCTTGAGATGACCTTAAATCTGACATAAGTGAACTTTTTATCAGAAGGTCAAATACTATCGAAAAAAATTTGTTGCAACCAATTCGACGGTGAACCAAAATGCCATATATTGGGTGCGTGGTCCTTTAATGGACGAATATTTTTATATAATTTATAAGAAAATGAGTTTCAAAGTTCGATATCACGAAAACGGCAAATTTAGGTACATGATAAGAATTTTGTTTAGAATTTCGAGAATAATTGAAATATGGAATAATATACAGGGTGTTCCCTTTTTTCGTCATGACTTTTTGACTGATCCTGTATACTCATTACTCAATACTTCTCTAATGTATTCGATTTTAAAAAACTCCCAAACGTTTGTGTTCTTCTCTTTCGATAGCAATCTTCCTTTAGGAGATAATCAACCGTTTCCAGACATATTAGCCCTGTATATTTCTTAATGTGGTTTGGATTTGAGGGTGAGACAACAAAATAAATAAAAGTATTTATCACAGTTGTTAGTATAAATATTATATCATTATTAGATTTTTGGATTACTTATGTTTTTTATATTTATTAGAATATACTTTAATTTTAATTTTAGATAATTAATCAAATTCAGTTCTAAAGGAAATTTAGAAATATAATTTCATTATAAAATCATCATGGAAAGATGCTTACATTTTCGACACGGGTCTGCATCTGCGGAATTTATCTTATTATTTATCTTATGGGATGAGATAAGTTCAACGTTCAAATAATTAAATAACAATCGTATAAGGAACACGTTTAAGAGAATGTGGGCATAATATCCTCAAGCTGTTTGCATAACTTGCGGTTTGGAAATATTGTGGGTACAAGTGTTTTGCACATCCACCATTTGTGGGAGTATAAATATGCCTTAATATAGCAAGAGAATCGAGAGCCATTTGGCATAGCAACAAGAAGAATTTCCTCTTCAAGTTTTGTTTCCTGTACAGTGCTGACCATGGATTCATTACAAAGCTGGATATAAAGAAATGGATAGTGATAGTGATGGATAGTGGTAGAAATTGATAGACAGTGATAGTGTAAATGGATGAAGTGTTTAATGATAAACACAGAGTGTTAAACGGTGCATTGTCGCGAGTGGCCGGAGAAACGGTTCTGCCCACTCAAACCTAGTAATCAAAAGCAATGTAATGTGATACATAAACTAATTCTGTGGCAAATTATTAAAATGCACTAGGTATTGCGTCATTCTCCAAATTATGAACAACATATTCAGCCTTATTCCACAGTGTACAAGTTCTGTTTCAAGACAATCCAAATAAAATACATCACAGGGATTTCATTCAAGTGAACGTGGTGGCTAGCTAATTGGAGTATGGTGCCCCTTGACCAACTATTGGCCTAGGTACTAACCTTTTAAATATTTTTTTAAATTGCTACTGAAGTGCGGTGGTGCTTTCTCACGCATAAAGTACATGTGATTATGTAGATTAACCGATAGATTGTCAAATAACTCCGACAGGGTATTTGTAGAAAATCTAAATGATTGTTGCCATCGAGACGATCTAATAGCAGCAAGCAGGAAGTTACTGTCAATATAAATCTACACGTTTATAATAAAATCACGACAGTTCTTATAAGAGAACCGTCTTTTACAAGTTTCTGTAAAGCAGAATACGTTATTTTGGTTTTTTTATTATTGAATAAATTACTTTTTAATGATTGTCAAGTTTAAATCGAAATGCATTAGTAATGATAAAAAAATATAATTCAACCGCAACTATAACAAATACAAAAATTTTACAAGAGGGAATATTTTTTAACTAACCTTTCATCTTTAAAACAAAAAAAGAAGCTTCATTATTAATTTAGTGCAGGTTAGTTCAAAGGAAGTATTTTTCATAGTTCTGTTACACTGAAAATAAATTTCACTCAATTTTACACAATACTGTATCAATTTCTGTTGAAATTTTTACTCTATCATTGTATCAAAATCATAAACTAATAATCTGTCACAATGTTTCCTACACAGATCTGTTTTAGAGACAATATTTTAGGTTTCGGTTAAAGGAATTGGTTAACATCCGACAAATAGATTGCCATAACCTATATTGTACGTTGCAGATACGTAAGTAAGTGTAGGTAACAATATAAGCAACAGTTTATATTGATCGAGACTCAATAGATTATTGCTTTTAATTATTGTAATCAAACCACTGCATTTAAACATAATTTTCATCAAAATGTCCAGATTAACGGACCAGTACTGCACGCTATACAATACGCCACGAGATGGCCTAATGGGGACGATGGGAATAGACAAAGACAATGCACGACAACCATAGAATGGGGTGGGGTCACTCAATAATACTCCGATTTAGCTACAAGTGTACCAAATACGAGTACCAAATACAAATACGAAATCTGCAGAATTTATTTAACGAGTACCTATGTTTGTGTGTAGTACTCAGTTGTAGTTCAATATATCACAAATGAGTAATATTATCAAAATCCTCAATCGAGTGAAAATATGGCTCAATAATTTCACTCAATAGATTCACTCCGTACCTTTATTGCGTTCACTCACATCAATTTTTTTATAGTGTACTTTTGAAAATTCTAAAAACTGATTAATAACACCACCTCACAAAAAAAAAAGTTGTCTGAAATGTACATGCGACATATGATTTCCGATGTATTTTCGCCCGCTGAACACGAATTGCTTCACCACCCTTCAATTTTCAGCAAAACGCTGAAAAATGAAAATTTTCATTTTTCAGAAGATTTTTCAGCGTTTTACTGAAAATTGAAGGGTGATAAAGAAATTCTGACTCCGGATTCGTGTTCAGCGGGCGAAAATACATCGGAAATCGTATGTCGCATGTACATTTCAGACAACTTTTTTTTTTGTGTGGTGGTGTAATAGTACAAGGGGTCGTTACAATCATTTGTAATACTCTCGTAGCCCCTTAGGCAACCTCAAAAATAAAAACATACACATTTTTCTCTTTTCCAGTTGCTGTAGTGGTGGCGTTTTTCATCTGTTGGGCGCCATTCCACGCTCAACGCCTACTAGCCATCTACGGTAATTCGTCCTCGGCGACTATCGTCAAGGCCTTTCAGATTCTGACGTACGTGAGCGGCGTCTTCTATTATCTCTCTACGACAGTGAACCCCCTGTTGTACCACATAATGTCGAACAAGTTCAGAGAGGCTTTCAAGGTAAGATATATTAGGGCTTAAACACATATTTATTTACGTACAAAGACAGGTACGAAAAGGACTTGTAATAGGAACGGTGGATGCAGGAGTTCTTGATGCGTTTGAAATTTGTTTATTCAGCTTCCGCGATGGTGTTTATGTCCCTCATTACCTTTAATATGGTAAACGTCGCTGTAGACATAGTGGCTCTGTTACATGCGACTGCGACATTAAAGGAGAACTATATGCCAGCGGAAGCGTATTATTATGAATAATATTAATGTTAGGAGCTACATTGGATTTATGACTATACTCGTATAATAGACAGGGTGTTTTTAAATGAAGTAGGAAAAATGGTACCAGTGAATGTAGAACCGAAAATAAGAGGATTGAAGTAAAAATACCTTATATGAAAGTTGCACCCCTGAGGCGATATACCCTCTTAAAGGAGGGGATCGAAATTCGTATTTTAATTTTTTTCTTTAACATGAATAATGTTAGAGACACGAAACTTTGTATGAGCATCCTACTAATAAAGAGACAACTTTTCAATATTTGTTCGATCATTGGCGTATTTTATAAAGGAGTGAAACAGTCAACCCCATTGCAATATTTTATTAGAAATTTTTTATAGGAAGAGAATGATTTGTTTAAAAATATTTATTGGGAAGACTGATTTATTGCGCAACTTTTTTACCCCTAGCAATTTTTCGATAAAACCGATAGTTTTCTAGTAAAGAATTAGATGCGTCATCGTTCACTAAAGAGGTAATTGCGAAAATTTGTATAAATAAAGTAGGCGGATGTCATAACAAATAAATTGTTGTTTATCATATTAATAAATTGACAGTTTCTGTCAACCAATAACTAGTACCAATTGATTAATTTATTATCAGAATAATTATGGCAAATAATATATACAGGGTGTTTATTAATTGAATGCCGATACTTAAGTGTGTGAATCCTTGGGTCATTTTAAAAAGAAATCTTAATATGAACATATGTCCTAAACCTCTTAATTTTTGAGCTACAGGGTGTTACAGTTTTAAGAAAAAATTTACTTTTTTATTATAATTTTCTTATCACTCCAGATATTTTTATGAAATTTTGTACGCACCTATTAATCATTAAGGAGCATTGTTTGACGTAAAAAATGTTTTAAAATCTTTGCCAATGACGTCCGTACGAGGTTTGAACTAAACATTTTTGATGAAAAAAATGGTACGCCACTGCTTTTTCTAAAAACTAAAATTATTTTTAAAATCTCCATTTATTTTACAGCAAATTCGGTCCCTAGACTTACTTTCGTACGACGCACCATTTGCATGTTATCCGAACACCCTGTATATATATTTTCACATTATTCATATATTGCTTTATAACAATTCTTTACTTATAAGTTTCTATTATTATTCTGCTGACAATGGAAAATCGCCTGCTGAGTTGCTAGCTGATAATAAATAGTATAAATACCCAACCAGCCGCTCAGAAGGACGATTATAGATTCA